GCAGTGTTCAAGCAATCCAAGGTACGTACAACAGCTCTTTTGGCAAAGATTACTTCTAGGATCTTGGACGTGCATCCATTTACCTTGTATTGTAAAAACCCTTCTATAAAGTCTGTGTGAGAAAAAGAAAAGGAAAAACGGCTTGCCGTCCCATGGTTTGTAAACTAGACAAGTATAGACAAGGTTGCGAATCAGTCTTACATCGTGATGTTAAAATGATATATCCGACCAACAATTAGAGAATTTAATCCTTACAAGAAGCTTTTCTGCTTAATTAAGACATTGCCTTCTTTGATTTTATTTTGAATTACTAACCAATTTATTATCTTTATAATTAAGGGGTTTGAAGCATGGATTAGGTAGACGTACAGGGTATAGTCTTTACAAGGCTTAATTAGTATATTAGTTTAGCTGTGAGTAAGAATGATGTCAGGTTGTGTTGAGTGTTCCCTTGCTACTAATTAATTTGTAATTATTAATAGCTAAAGTATTTTCTATAAAATTAATGAAATGCTTCAATTCCATTGTTTACATGTATTTGGAACATGTACTAATAAGAATGAAGTCAAATATATACTTGTTAATTAATTAATCCTTTTTTGCTTCAACTATATTAATTCTTCCGTTTTCAGGTTTCTTGATGTATGTTTTTTCTCTTCATTCTATTTATACACTTTGCTTACATTTACATTGCTTTAATTTCGCAAAATGAATTTTATTAGTACATTAATTGTTTTGCATGACATATATATAACATTGAGGAAATGTAACTCTTTCAGGCTTCAAAAGTCTAGAAATTCTGAATCTGAGTAATAATCATTTCACCAACACTATTTTTACCTCCTTGGTTGCCCTCAAATCCCTCAAGAATCTGTCTCTCAGTGTTAACAAATTGGAAGGGAACTTTCCTGCTGAAGGTATATTGAATTCAGATGAGTCCCATATTATGTTTATATATATATTATACTCTCAACTTTCATTAATGATTAATGATGTGCAGAACTWGCCGGTCTGGAGAASTTGCAAATGTTGGATTTGAGTKGGAATGGATTCAATGGCAGTGTTCAAGCAATCCAAGGTACGTACAACAGCTCTTTTGGCGAAGCTTAAAGAGGCTGGAGGTTCTCGACTTGAGTTGGAATGATTTCAACAACAGCATCCTGCCGTCTTTGGGTGCCCTCAAATCCCTCAAGAGTCTGTCTCTCGGTTATAACAAATTGGAAGGGAACTTTCCTGCTGAAGGTATATTGAATTCAGATGAGTCCCATATTATGTTTATATATATATTATACTCTCAACTTTCATTAATGATTAATGATGTGCAGAACTAGCCGGTCTGGAGAACTTGCAAATGTTGGATTTGGGTCACAATAGATTCAATGGCAGTGCTCAAGCAATCCAAAGTACGTACAAAAGCTCTTTTGGCAAAGCTTACTTCTAGGATCATGGACGTGCATCCATTTACGTTGTATTGAAAAAGCCCTTTTATAAAGTCTGTGTGAAAAAAAGAAAAGGAAAAACACTCCCAAACGCAGCTTTCATGTAAAGTGGAACATGCCATAAATGCCACAATTTATATYCATTTTATTTAGAGATGGGCCCCATCACACCTTACTCCTTCCGAAGGTATATTAAGATTAATGCATATGTTATCTTAAATAATCTCGACCATAAAATTCATAATTACGTAATTATTAGATATATTTTTGGCTACTTTGAAATTATTTAACATAAACGTGTAGTTTGCGTTGACGTTTTCAGCTTGTATTTCTGGTCTCAAAAGGTTTAACAAGTTGGAGGAAATACACTTAGATCAAAACAATTTTAACACAACGATTATACAGTATATTGGTCTGCTTGCACCGGTAATTAAGAAATTGTATCTCGGTGGAAATCCATTGATGAGTGGATCAATAACCAGTGAAGGTATGTTAATTGTAGATTCATTAATATATAATTGCTTGGAGATAGTTCAGTCTTATGCAACTTTGGATTTACATTAATGATATATAGGCAAACCTCCACTAATATTTTCTAAATTAATATTTTTCACTTTGTTGCTTTATAGAATCGGATACTTTGAGAAACTTGGAGCAATTAGATTTATCTTCTTCTACGCTCAACAACAAATTTCTCGAGAGCATGGAGGGAATGATTTCTCTCAAGTTCTTAGATATGTCTTTCGCTCAAGGACTCAATGGCACTCAACTACCACATAAAGGTAAGTTAATTATTGGCAAACCAAAAATCTTTTCATCTATTTTTGTGTCATTTCTTATGCTCTCTCTGAATAATACATGGTTAGTAATATACAGAATCATTATTTAATTTACATATATATGCTTTGAATCACCATGCAGGATTGTGCAAATTAAGGAACCTCCAGGAGTTGGATCTTAGAGGCAATGATTTCGTGGGTAGTGTCAACCATTGTTTAGGAAATCTCACATCCCTTCGCGCATTGGATCTTTCTCACAATCAATTTGAAGGAATCTTTGATACATCATTCATTGCTGGCCTCACTTCTCTTGAATACCTTTCTCTTTCACATAATCGCTTCCAAGGTTCATTTTCATTCCATTCCTTCGCTAACCTTTCCAAA